TTTTTTTAATATTTAGACCAGAGTTCACTTGTACATTTCAAAATTATTTTCCCACAGTTTCCAGTCGCCATTTTTCTTTAATTGTATTGTTTGCTCTTATAATGTCTCCTTCCTTTTACATAGATAGCTCTAAATTGCCCTTAAAATTATACTGACTTTCTTTTGTGAAGACCTCTCTCTGGGAATCCTTAGTCTTTCCTTGCCAGTCTGACTAATTATCCTTTAGACATACTTTGATGCAATTATCCTGGGATTTCATATATTACTTTCCTGAGATCCACTTTCTCTTGGATTCTAGGACTTCCTTTTTCTTAATTTATTCTCTTATTTGCTTTGGTACATTCTTAACTTTTTGATTTAAAAGGTACATAAGAGGTAAATTCTATGAGCTCTGATGTGTCTGGATATGTATTTATTCTGCCTTCATAGAAATTGATAGTTTAGACGGGTATAGAATTCTATGAACTAATCATTTTCATCTAACATCTCTTGTGGCTGATGGAAAGTCTGATGCCAATCAGTCTTTATTCTTTTTAGGAGGCATGTTTTATTCTGTCTGAAACCTTTTAGGATTTCTTCTTGATTATTGGTGTTTTGAAATGTTATAAGCACATATCTGATGGATTCTTTTTGCCAGTCAATGGCTCTTTGGATCTGAAGACTCTTTTTTTTTTTTTATTCTCCAGTTGTAAAAATTTTCTTCCACATAATTCTTTAATAGATTTTTCTGTCTTCTCTTTCTTGGACTGCTTTTATTCTGATGTTGGACTTTACATTTTGGCTCTAAGTGTCTGTTATTTTTGATTTCCTATTTTCAGTCTCTATGTTTTTCTTTGACTTGTTGGAAATTTTCTCAATTAAATTTTTAGTGTTTCTATTAAACTTTATGTCTTAGCAATCATGTGCTTATCTCTAAAAGTTTCTATATCTTTGTTGTAGAATTTTTCCTGTTTCATAGCACACTTTTCTGGTTTTATGTGTATAATATCTCTGTGTGTCTTATGTTATAAAACTAGAATTTTTGTTTGGGTTAGCTCCGTTTTGTTGTTGTTTTTATGTTCTTCCTCTTTCTTGTTTTATTTCATTCCTCTGTGGTCAGTTTTCCAGTTTATTTTGGTCATTCTCCTTAATGTTTCAGATTCTTTTCACATGTCACAGAGTCTTGGTTTTTGTGTTCAGACTTCAGGGAAAAGGAAGGGTAGCTGATTTAGGTTATCTCTGTGACAAACTTAGAGCCCTTTTCCAGGGTGTTTCTCTCCTGAGAAGGAATTCTGTAAGAATGGGAAGAGCGTGACTGGAATTCACTTTAGAGTTAGCTGATGGGAAGCTAGTTTTCAGGCAGTACCTCACCCCCAGTATCAGAATGAGTTTAGTCAATTCTTTGTAACACACCACTAATATATATTCTTCTTCTTCAGGCTCAGTGTCAGATACTTGCCTGTAAGAGTGCCACCTGCCACATTGGCCTACTTAAAAATCTTTAATTGATCCCTCTTTTGTAGCCTTACTTCTCAGTCATACTTTGTGACTCTGAGGCCAGAATCTTTTCCCTGTGCAGTTCCTTGCAACATTTTTTAGACCAATGTTTTTCAACCTTTTTTATCTCACAGCACACTTGAACCTATAGTTAAACTTTTATGGGCACATAATATTGATCAAAAAAACAAAAGAGTAAAAAAAAA